GGGCGGGGCGTGGGGCTCCGGCGGGCGGCGGGGCGGGGCCGGGGCGGCGCTGCTGCCGCCGCCGCCGCTGCCGCCGCCGCCGCTGCTGCTCCTGCTGGGGCCGCCGCAGCCGTTGCTGCCGCCGCCGCCGCCGCTTCTGGGCGGGGAACGGAGGCCAAAGGGAGTCCCGTGCCGGGGCAGAGGGCGCAGGCGGTGCGTGGTGGGGAGGGGGCCGTCCTGGGGGCGGGGGCAGGCGGGGGGTGGAGCCCCCGACGGGGGGCGGTACGAGCCCGGACGACGACGACGAAGAGCCCCGGGGGCCGGGTGCATGGAGGACGAGGTGCTGGGAGAAGGAGGGGGGGGTGGGTCCCGCGACGGGCCTCGTGGGCTTGGCTCCTCGAGGTTCTGCTTTGGGACAGAGCCCTGCAGGGGCGCCCAGAGGCCCGGGAAGGGACAGGGAGGTGAATTGGACGGTGAAGGGGGCCCTCCTCGCCGGGGTCCCGCCGAGGGGAAGGCTGGGCCGGAGGGACGTCCGGGGTTGGGCTGGGAGGAGCCGACCGCACCTCGGCTGGGGATTTCGTGTTATGGAGGGGCGGGAGATTGTTGTAGGGAAAGATGTGGTCGAGGGGAAAGGCGAGAGGGAAACACGCTGCAAGCCCGGGAGGCCAACAGCCCAGGCCAGTGGAGGTGCCCTTCTATTCCGCCCGCACCTTCCCCCTCTCCCAGTGCAAGCACTATGTTTTTGTTTTATTGTTTTGAAATTTTCAGTGTTGACTGTAGGAAGCTGTCGATGTGGTGATACTTACTCATTCTTGTTGTCTCCTAGAGTAGACAGTAAGGACAGGCGTCGCTTGGCGAGGATGCGTGTAGCCCAGGGTTTAGGGGCTCTTTACGTGAGAGTGGGAAGGGGGCCTGCTAACTTCGTGCGACAGCTGAATACTCAAGGCAGTTTGGAGGTCGTCCCCGTAGCACAGAGGTGGAGTACAATTGCAAAAATCTTTGGTGAGACTTCTGGGGGTGCAGTTGTAGGTTAGTGTTACTCTGGTTGGCCTGGCTCTTTCAACTTAGAGGGCTATTTCTCAAAGTCACGCTGCTGAGACGTTGGGGAAATGAACAGGGGGACGCGTTTGGTGTTAGAAGCAGATTAGGTTTATAATAAAATCCCAAGGTTGGAAGGGACTTTAAAGGTCATCTCGTTCTCTGTTTACCTGACCTGTCCTTGAATGTTGGGATAGAGGGAGCTTTATTTTGGGGGAGATGGAGCAGGGTTTAGGGGTACTCAAATTGGATGTCGATGTCATCATGTGGTACTGAAGAGGACAGTACGTAGGAAAGAAATTTGGAGGATTCCACTGGGGATTAAATGGGATAACCCAATCCCAAGAATCGAAGCAAAAGTTTGGGGGAGGAACCTGTAAAATTTTGATGGAGAGGCAAAGTTAGTAAGAAGGACTGGGGGAGCTAGGAGGAGCAGGGGACTTGGTGACTCAAGAGAATCTGAAGGTTGATAGAGTTTAAGAGGGACATAGTCGTTTTGAGTAAGCCATGTGGCTATTGTTAGGCAGACTCATCTTTTGATAAGGCAACTGCCTTTGGGATAGATGGTGAGGACAAGAGGCACAGGCCATCAGGCACAGAGCCTTACTCAACTTGACTTTCAGAGGGCTGACCCTGTTACCAGCTATGCAGCAAGGGTAAGGTTCTTTCTGTCCTGGCTCTGAGAGTCATTGATGGAGGAAGGGGTTAAGGAGGACTGTTTCTTTAGAATAGGCCATAAGGAAAAGACAGCAAATTGTTGGGATAGGGCAGAGGAAAGCTAAGTCCCTGGCAAGTTCTTCTGTTGGAGTCTGGATTGGGCAGAATGAAGGGGAGTTCCAGAGGAAATGGTGGCAGCACCAAGGGAACTCAGAGATCTGGCTGTTTTGATTGCCCAGAGCTGGTAAGGCATAGACTCCCAGTGGCCTAGACTTCTTTTGGGAAGCAAAAGGGTTTCCTCCAGGGGTCTGTTTGCTTTATTCATGCTGTAGTTCACTCCATAGGAAAAAAATGTTTAGTACAGGTGGCAGAGAATCTCACATGATGAGTCTGGATTACGGGTTTCAGAGAGGGGCTTCTTTTAGGAGAACAGAATTATGGGAGAGAAAGACTTGAATACTAGAAAGAAGGAAGGCAAAAAGAAAAGTCAGGAAGAGGGTTGTTTAGGCAGTGTAGGGGGAAGAAAAGTGATCATCACTGGTTTCACGTCAGGGCCAACTAAAGAAAAAGTGGAACCCTGAAATTTCCAGGCTAGGTTTTCCAAAGTAAAATTTGAAGAACGTTGAAGGCTCTTTACACTTTCATGCTAGAATCACTACGGTTGGTGCGAGAGAGAGGACGATCTTGGGTAAAAATAGGATTGGAGAGAAACTGGCATGTAGGAAGGAATATACATATATTTACCCATAGGGAAGTAGAGAATATAGAGATAGTATATAGGCTAAAAAAATGCAGAATGTGAAAGAGGGCGGAATAAGGAGCCAAAGGAAGATGTTTACTCACATGTTCAGGGAAGGTAAAAAGTTGCCTTTGATAGCTGTTGTCCTGGGAGGGCCCAGGCAGCAGAGGTTAGCTGAGATCCAGGGCTTATAAGTCTAAGCATTAGTTAGAAAATTCAGGCTAAAATAAGCGTTCTGGATGGGAGAAGGAATTCAGCAACCTAAGTAGAATGGCCTTAAAAGAAGTTGAAAGTGGGAATACACCAGTTTTTCCAGTCTGCAAGTGGAAGGAATCCTAGATATAGGGAGGTGAATTATGGAAATTCCAGACTGAGACAGGATAAAGAACAGTGGCCTTAGAGCCTTGGGCCAGAATTGGAGGGTGGGATGGGGGCATGGAGGAGAGGCGCTAATCAGGGGTTGGGCATCTGGACTGGTTCATTGATTCTAGGCTGAACTCAATTTGAGATGGAATAGAATGGCCACAGTGGGGTAGAGAGCTGTTTTCCAGCATCAGCCAGCATCTGGGATCGAGAGAGGAGGAGTTCATGGTTAAGTTGGGTGGGAAAATGAACACTAACTAGAGTGGAACAGAGAGCCCTGGGGAAAGTGGGCATTGTTGGGATAAAAGGGGACAAGCAACTGATGATTGCATAAGGGGGGGAGGAAGACCCTAGACCTTTGAGTTTTCAGAAGGAAAGGAAATTTCTTAATGCTGGAGTTCCAGTTAGGTATGAGTCTATGCTTGCCAGAAGGTTTAGTGCCAGGATGGCCAAAGAGGGAGGTAATAGGTAATCTAC